CAAGGCTTTTTGTTCAGTCTCCCCTCTGGGGCAAGGACTTTCCACATTGATCTCCCATTTTCAATGCATTTTCCCAACTGGGCGACTGCATCCTGGACCTGCTTAGTATCCCACAAAAAAAATTAATCCTAGGCCATTTTTGACCTGTTCAGATGAATTGTGATGTGGTCTTATGCCTAGAAAGTTTTTTTTTTTTTGGTTGGTTTTTTTGGCTCAATATATTTTTATTATATATTCTATATATAAATATATATGAAGATGACGATAGCTGGGATTATTTAATAGCAATAGCGTGTAGTGAATGTGTACAGGTGACCTCAGAATTGTCTCGACGATGTATGAAAACGGCCAGTTCAACTAAAAGAAACCACGAGTACAATTCGTGTAACTGCCACTTAGCCACACGCGCATGCGCGCACACGTTCACACTGCTGCTGTGTGAAAGACACTGGAGGACTTTTTGATGTCGGTCAGTCCAGGTGGATTTCATTTTTGAGTGACACAGCAGGCTGTAGACAGCAGATTGTTTAGAACGGTGCTACTTGCACTAGTTTGTGCTCTGTTCAAGGATCAGTTGTAGACGTACCCACACTGAATGCGTGCTCTTAAGAAGACAAGAGGACGTGTGTGAAAAATACGCTTGTAAAAGAACTTGAGTATTTGTCTGAAAACGTGTAAACATTGAACTTTGGTTATCTTGATATTGTACAGAAAAGCTCCGGAGCACTGGCTACATTCCCGCCTGGTTACATTCTTCATTTCCATCACTTTTTGTGCTGTTCAAGGGCCAGCGTTGGATGGGGTACTGCTCGTTATGCGACTGCGGCGGGACCACACTGCAGGCCAGCTTCTATTTAAACTGGTTTCTTACACTGACCTCAGATCAGCTTGTAGAAAATACACATTATTCCTATTCTAAAAAGACAGAGAGAGAGGGGAAAAAAAGACCGGAAAACCAAATGTGTTGTTATGTGACTTTTTAATAATGTACAGTTTTGGTGACATGAAATTTTGTTCCTTTATATTTTTAGGACCAATTCATTTTTAACAGGATGTATTACAAGACTCTGTTGTATTAAGGTGATGTAACATGTGTGCATCTGTAGAATGTACTGTGAGTTGAATTAAAAAAAAAACACATGTAGTCGTAGTTTGATTTGTGGTCAAACAAATCTTTCCAGCATTGTCTTAGCCAATGCATGCTTGGATAGGTAAACCATCGCCTTCCTCATTTGACACCTTCAGAATGCAAGTATAAGTACTTTATAGGCGCAACAATGCACAGGGATGCTTTTATGAGGGGGTGGGGGTTGCAATTTTTGCAGAACCATTTCAAAGAATAAGCTGCAATTGGAAGTTCTTTTAACCTCCAAAATGCCTTTTTGCAAACATGCCCACCTATCTATAGCTGAAGGTTACTGCTTGCTTCCATACTGTCAAACTCTATGAGGTGCACAGCTTCTGGTCCTGTGGAGCGATACTCCGGCCACCACTGTGGAAATCTGCAGCTCCTCCAGTGTGACCTTTTGATCTGTGGGCTACCTCTGATTGAAGCTCACCTTGCCTGATCTGGATTTTGGTGGTGAGTCCTCTCTTGGCAGGTTTGAGTGCCGTATTGGTTTCATTTGATCATAATGAATGTGATGGTGTTCTTGGGCATCATCAAAGAGTTTATGTATCTAGAGATTATCGCGGCCTCAATGCATCGCGGATTTTTTCAAACCTATTCATAAAAAATGAAAAAAATGCATATACATGTAGTACAGTACTGTATATGTTGCTCTATGTGGCTCGCTGTTGTTTTGCTGACTCGCAGCTTCTCGCAGACCGCTTGCGGACTTAATATATATATATATATATATATTTACTTCAAAATTTACTTCTACATGCATGTATACCATTAAATTTGGCCTTATAAATATTATGTACATGTACCTATATGGAGGGGGGGGGTCGCTACTTCGCGGATTTTCGTTTATCATTTATCGCGGGTGGTTTTGGTCCCCATTAACCGCGATAAACGAGGAATTACTGTATCTCAAATGTCGCACTATTTTGTGCTGAGCCATCAAATAAGATTCAGTTTAAAAAAAAACATTTAAAGTACAGGATGTAACACCAAAAGAAAGAAGCAAAGGGCTAAATACTTATTCAAAGTACTCGGCATATGTTTTTGTTGCTACGACCAATAACAGTTTTGAATACAATTTCAACAGAACAATGACCCACTGGACCTAACAGAGGGAGCTGTTGTGGGGGTAAAAAACTTTAATGCTTTTCCCCAACAATGCGATATTAAAATACATAAATATGCTTGCCTTTTTGCAGCATGCTTCTTACTGTATTTCTGCTTCCTCTCACTGTTTCATTGCCATCTGGGGCAACAGCTGGGAAAAAGCACAGTGAGTTCCTTTCGTGGGCTTTGGGGTCCAAATGATTGTCCTGCTCAAAGTGTGAAAAGTAAAAAGTGGCCATGCTATAATATGACCGGGAAAAGTAATAGCCTATATGTTGCGGTGTCTACTCATAACCCCCACACACCCCCCAAAAACATTTGTTGCTAAATTCTATAATTAATTGGATCAGATTTCTTGTCTGTGGAGTTTAGCACCCGACATTGCTTGGATCATTTTGAAGGGAGGGGAAGATAAAGTCGATAGTATATTGTGTCAGTCCCTTTGCCACACACCGGATGAGTTCCTGATTAATTGAGAGATGAATATCTGACAGGCTACTTTCTTCATAATTTGTGCAGCCTTAAAAACAACTGTGATGTGGTGAAGTGCTTGCAGGGTCTCCATGGAGATTCCTGTCTGAGGCACATGTTGCTCGGGAGGGGTTGCCATCACTGCCAGCTGCTCTGCGCTCAAGTGGGACAACCTCTCGCTTTGATGCATGCACTTTCCTCACGCGCACATAAACAAACAAATACCCCGAAATGAACAACACACAAAAAAAATATCCCTTTCCACATCACTCCCTCAAATCCCCTAGCTGGCACCTTTTGTGTTGGCAAAATTGTATCAGAGTCAGCACTCTGGGCGGAGGGAGTGGAAAACTCCCCACGCCAGCGGGTTCCAGTGTGACACCCCCTCCCTCCACCACCTCACCACTGCGCCCGCTCCACACATTTGGACTTAGTCCCACAAAAGGGGGGATAACAGTTTAACAGTTGCTATGATAAGAAGAGGCTAATCCACCTCATAATGGACCACCCCCCCTCCCCACCTCTAACCAGTTCATTCTGGACCCTGTCTACCAAATGGAGGGCCCCTGCCTCCCGGAAGGTCCAAATCCAAACACCCTGTGATGGGGAGGCCCAAACAGAGGGTCCTCCACATCTTGTTATGCTGTGAGATTAACGACATCTAAGTGGCTCCGTTTGTAGCTGAAACACACAACGCTCATGTCTGTTTCAACTCAAACAAGGTGGATGTTTGATATCAGTGATGAAAAAAAAAAGCGTGCCCAGATGCGCGGCACAATAGGCACCATGGCAACAGCATCACAAATGGGTCTCCATATCTCCATGGAGATCAGAGCGACACTAAACAAGTAGGCTAATTTGTTAAAATGATGATGGGTGTTGTGAAGGGGCATCAATTTGGGGTTGTGGGTCAAAACAGACATTTATTTATTTATTGCTCTTACTTAATGTTATAGTGCAGAACATTACGTCCACATCCGCATGCTATATAAATCCGCATGCTATATAAAGACCCAAATCATGAAAGAAGATGAGGATTTTATAGAGAATGTCTGCTCTCGGTGATCATCTATTTCTCCAATTTAAAAAAAAAAAAAAAAAAAAGCATAATCAAAAAGACCAATGTAACCTGTGTTCATTAAAATGTATAGGATGTTTAGGTGAGTACATACTGTACGATATAGACCAGGGTTTGGCATCCTTAAATACTCAAAGAGCTTCCACAGAAAAAAAACAAGAGCCACAAAATCCTTTTGATCATAACACAGCATTTTTTGTTTTGTTTTTCCGTTGTTTGTAAAAAACAAAACAAAACCAAAAAAACGACCCTGTCTTGTGTTTATGAAATAGAGGACCTCTTACACAGAACACAAAATTTTGTTTCTACATGTAACAAAAACCTTTTGAACTCTGAGGAAAAAAAAAAGGCGTGTTTGGGCAAAGCTTCCTCTCAAATACTGTAATGTCTTTGGCTCGTCCTTTTTTTGGAGTATTTATGAAATTAAAGCCAAATGTAAATCATCCACCTGCAAGGAACCAAAGATGCAGACCAAAAATGCCATCTGCTTCTGTTTCGTCATCACTTTGTCATGTAGGGTGCACTCAGTCAGCTATCAACTTGAATTCAAAAAGACTCTTTCACATATTACTGTAAGTGTATGTACAAGATATCCAATAAGTATGTACAAGGTATATATTTGAAACATAATAGTCAATCAAATGTATAGAGAGCTTTGTCACTGCTGAAGACAGTGACATCATTGTTGTGCTTTGAACTTTCTTTGTTATTGAATTGTGTCCGCTGTCCAGCAAGGGACTTTTATCTTGGCCATTGTAGGAAAAAAAAACCCTCAATCCGACAGTGTTGGTCTTCTTATTGTGTCTTACTGTATCTCTGTTTGTTAGTGATTCGAAGAATCTTCCAAAACATGAACAGACTCAAGTGGATTACAAATAACCTGGAAAAAACATAGATGCATATAATTCAGGACATGCAGCGAACTGCAGTAACAAAGAGGTGACAGAACAATTTGTCCTTTGTTTTGTCCCCCACTTCAAGACAGAAGCAAAAAGATAACTCCACACATTGTTTTGGAGCAGACAACTTGCTTGCTTGGTTGTGCTGACCAACTTTGTTGCCATAAATTTCAATCATTCATATTTTAATGTTGCAACTTCATTTAGGGTTTTTGCCTCCCAATATCAAAGTTGTCTTTTTTACAGTGCACATGCGGCTCTGGAGCTGCAGGTTGCAGACCCTCGGTATAGACAACACAACCACGCACTCCCACGTTCACACTTAGGTCCAACCGAGTGTCCAAAGTTCACCCACAAGACATAGTTTTCGAATGTTGGAGTCAGCCGGAGTGTCTTGATCTCTTTTTTTGTCTTCCACAGTATTTCCTCCAGTTGGGTTCAGGCACGCTGTGTACAAACCTCTCAAGTAGCCACAATCACTTTGCAAACAGGTGAAAAGCTCCATGAAGATGTAACAAATTGCTCAAGGTCACCAACTCACACAGTCACACACTTTAAGGGCCATGATGACTCATGTGCTCATACACACTTTACAAACCGAGGTTTATGCTAAGGAGAGAGGTGAGGGTGGGTGGGGGGAGCGTGGGAGGTGGCTGCGTTCATCAGAGGACCTCTCAGACTCTTACGAGGGATGGAGCGGCAACCCTGAACGACTCGCCATCGGACAGACTGACGGACGGCACCGAAGTACGGAGCGACCTCTTGACCGCAGCTGGGGAGACACTCGGCGGGTGTGAAATGACGTGGCATGAGGTGAGTGGCTTCTGTTTTTGTCTTGTTGTTCAACTTTGCTTTGTGTGTGGTATAAGTGGCTAATCCGTATTTCATTTGTCATTGATTCTGGAGCAGAATGGCTAAAAACAAGTAGGGTTGCCAAATTTTGGTCTTTTCAAAGTCGGAAACACTCTCTGTGCGTTAGTCTGAATGTATGGATAGTTGGCCCTAAATAAGATAAGATAAGATAAGAAAACCTTTATTAGTCTCGCAATGGAGATGGGGAACTTTTATATATGAACGTATTGTATTCCTGCCTCAAAGCAACCACATTTCGAACGTGCTTTGCATAAGCAACCAATCGAGTGAAGTGGGAAACAAATGGAGCAATTAACAACTACGTATTCTGCTTATGACAAAACAAAATGTTTTATGTTTTAAGCTCAAATTTGAGCCCATTCCATTCAATTACCCTCAATACCACAGGATCTCATTTGCGCAATTTACAATTTGGAATATTTCCATAATCCACCACCTTTTCTGAAACATTTATTTTGTGCAATGAAACACTTTATCTCCCCCCCAATTTTGCTGCTGTAGACTGCAAATTTCCCCAGTGTGGGACAAATAAAGGTTATCTTATCTTAACCTCCCCTTGGAAATTTTCCACCCCTTTGGCCACCGAAATCGCAACAAGTAGCACTCGGCCGGTGTAGCAACATGTGCATCCTTGAGCATTCAATGGTCACTTCTCACAAGCATTGCTTTGTGTCGTTTCCCCAAGGAGCTTCGTAGCCGGCAGTTCTGGCGAGCCATGATGGCGGAGCTGATCGGCACGCTGGTGCTGGTGAGCGCCGCGCTGGGTGCGTCCGTACCGGTCCGTGGGGAGGCCCCGGAGGGATCCTTGTCCCCTGCGGTAGCAGTCGGTGCGGTGGTTGTCGTACTGGGGCACTGTTTTGGGGAAATAAGCGGGGCGCAGGTATCACCCTCGGCTTATTGTGCTCTTCATTTCAACTTCATTTGAACACATGAATGTGAAAGTGTTTGTGTGCTCCCTGCGCAGGTCAACCCTGCAGTCACTTTGTCCCTCCTGGCCACGCGGAGGCTGGACGTCCTGAGGGCTCTCATTTATATTGCTGCCCAGTGTTTGGGGGCTTTATTGGGGGCCGGGGCCCTCTACTTGGCTTTGCCCCTCAAAAGCACTGCAGACAACTTTGTCACCAGGGTTTGTTCTTTGCAATTAAAGTGAATCTAGTTAGTATGCCAATGAATTAACCAAAAAGACAATGTTATGAGTAACAGTTTAACTTCCTTAACCATCATATAAGGGGGGGGGGGGCTGTAATCCAGCGTGAAGTAAAACTAAAGGCAAATAAAATAAAACCACTGACCCTCTCATGACTAGCGAGAGGCAGGCTCGTTGAAGGCGGCTGATTTCAGTCATCATGCCATCATACAAAAAGTAAGCAGATGACGATACTGAACAAAAAACTGAACAAGCAACAGTTTGTTCAAGCCCCCTTAAATTGGAGGATGTGTGAATGACCCAATCTGCCTGTGAGGTGAGTCTCTTCACATCACCTTTTTTTCTTGTATTCATTGACTCAAGTCAGAAATGTACAAAAAGCTGAATACAATTGTGGAATTAATCCTCAAGTTGCTCGCTGAGCTGAATTCTCACCAACCTTGTTGGCTTCAGGGACATATTCCGCCCCCCGAGAACTACGGGTTCAATTTGGGAAATCTGACTCTCAAAGTCACCGTCTGTACTAATGTTTCTCCCCTTCCTGCCTACATTCTCTATTGCCATGCCACGCAGGTGCACATTGAGTTGAATGCAGCGCAGGCCCTTGGCATTGAGGTCTTATGCACCTTCCAGTTGGTTTTCACAATTTTCTCAGTTGAGGCCCAGCGACGAAGGGACAGCCCGGAACCAGGAAACCTTGCTATTGGACTGGCACACACTGCTGGAGTGATGATAGGGGTGAGGGGCAACTTGTTCCTGTTATCATCCATTTTTCTAGTGTGTGTTTGGGAATAGCCTAGTAAAATATGTTGCATATTCCATCCATCCATCCATTTACTGATCCACTTATCCTCACAAGGGTCGTGGGGGCGGGGTGCTGGAGCCTATCCCAGCTGTCTTTGGGCAGTAGGGGGGGACACCCTGAACTGGTTGCCAGCCCATCGCAGGACACACATTGACGAACAATCATCCGCTCTCACACTGCGCATTGCCTGCCATTGCGCTGTCAATCTGTCTTCCTCGTTATTTGATTTGATTTGATTGAAAGAATAACATAAAACCTGACGCTAGGAGGGCAAACTAAATTATTGGAGTACATGATAACGCCATAGAGTATTTTTATACCATCATTTTTAAAGCATAATTATTTAATACGTAATCGGCCTAAACCTTTTACAGGGAGTCAGGTGCCATTGACATTTACAAGTTGATTCGTTACATACACTGACCAGTTGATTCTTTCTCCACACTGACTAGTTGAATGCCGCAAAATGAATTTTGACTGGTAAGTTCTTCAAAATACGTAAGCTCTTAGATTTCCCATGTTGCAAATTTCTCCTGCACCAACACGATTGAGTATTAACCAATACTTTATAGAAACTATATGCACGTTTTCCCCATGCTCATTTTTTTTTTTTTTTTACTACGGCTTCCTCCCGCATTCAGAAAACATACACGTTAGGTACATTGAATTGTGCATAGATGCTCACGTGAGCGTGAATGCTTGTTTGTGACCTGCAATTGGTGACTAGTCCAAGGTCATCTGGGATAGAAAATAGATTCATGGACGGATGGATGGATGGCCTATGACTCAGCACAATGTGACAGCTAACATGTTGTTCTCTGGGCAGGCTCGGTTCTCTGGTGCTAGTATGAACCCTGCTCGCTCTCTTGGTCCTGCTATCATCACAGGATTTTGGGAAAACCATTGGGTGAGCTGACGCCCAGATCTAATGTGTTGTCATAATGTGCCCTTAGCTCACGAAATGTGCGTTCGCTGAAAAAAAACCCCAAAAGGCTGCTGCTGTTTGTGGTTGTGTGGCACACTCCTGCATCTCATCAACAAGAGTTGTAGAGCCGGGCAGGAGCCCACCACTGCAAACAAGGGTCATTCCAAAAAGGCGGGACAATTTAGACACCAACATTTTTGAAAAATAATTAATTCATTCATTTCATTCGGTTTTATTTTTAACCGTCTTGGGGACCTCAAATGCAGAGATAAGGAGAGCCCACCTCAGAAACCCTCATGGGAAGGCAGGTTGGAATCGAGGTAGTCTTCGAACTATTCTCTCCGCCAACTCACAGCGTCCCGAGGTGAGGTCTTCACAGGGCTGGATCGGCCATGTGGCGTTCAGAGCAGATGCCCAGTGGGCTGGCGTCTTTTGATACTGATACTGTGGTATTTAAATATGATTTTTCTTCATTTTACCCCAAGAGAAATGTACCAATCAACATCAGTGGCAGAGCTATATGCTTGCCAGGGGTGGTCAGGAGTCATTTCTGAAGATGCATTTTAAAAGAATCTGTCTTCAGAATAGAATGCTTCATTCTTGTTGTCAACTATAGACAGCCAAAATGCAAACCCTCCTATCTAACAGAGGTGTCAAATCCAGGTCCATAAAGTAGACCCTGCCATAGTTTGTCTTTCGTCACAGGTGCTTCTATTCAACCAGCAGAAAAACAAGCATGGTTACTTTTTATTGGTGCATCTAATAAAGTGCCCGACATCCACTCCCATCCACCCACAGGTGTACTGGATCGGACCGGTCTTCGGGGCAGTACTGGCCGGTGTGTCGCATGAATTCTTCTTTGCACAAAGCGCCTCGCGCCAAAAGCTGGTGGCATGCCTGACGTGCAAAGACATTGAGATCGTGGAGACCACCAGCATTACCGGCTCGTCCCTGTCCACCGTCACTCAGAACGCTGCCAGAGCCAAACAGGCCCACAAACACGACAACAACTGAAAGGTGCCAAGTGGGAACGCTCAAATCAGCGTTAAAACACTGTAGAACGTCTGAATGCGATGCCTGGTATTTGCAATGACAACATTGTTCTATTTCCTACTCTCACGTTAGCATTTGCAACTCATTAGAGTACACGATGCAGGCTCATCCAAACCCTCCTGCAAACAACCCCACTCTCGTTGTTGCTGCGTTGCATCCTGAGGCCAGGAAAGCTTTGAAATGCTAAAGAGCTTCGATGACGCTCTTAGTTCCTGCCTCTTAGTGTTTGTTTCTCCCCTCGGGCCTTTTGTTCACAATCAAACAGATCTGAGCACATTAATGACTGCATGGTGGGGGGAAACACGTCAGTGGCAATCCGCTTTGTTTCATGGAAATTGATATTTTTGGGGTTTGGTTCTGCTAACCAGTGTTGTGAAAATGCGTCTACATGTTTGAGATTTTGAACAGGTCTCATGGTGAAAATAAAATACGGATCACATTTTTGACAACAATTGATTTTCTGAGCAATTTTGCAAAGCTTCACAAATGTTCCATATGCGCACTGCTCATGACACGACACGCATGCATCATCCATTCTGACAAGTTCAAATCTACTTTGCTGTTGCTGAATTTCTTTAAAAATGCATGCTTTGCCTTCTTATTTGATATTTACCGCTATATTTAACACTTTTCATTGTTCATAAATTTCATTCTTTACCCCTGGTAAAAAGTAACACATTAAACTTGAGCTGAAAATTAAATCTATTCAGTCTTGACACATCTGGTTACATTTTTACTTCATTTGAGTGAGATACCCAGTTTTAAAATCAGAAGTCAAGAATGATGACTTTTATTGTGGATTACATACGACAATGTGCAATTTTGGTCCAGACTTGAGCAAGCATCATGGAACTTGACATGCTTGATTTGCTTTTGCGGGCCACATAAAATGATGTGGCGGGCCAGATCTGGCCCCCGGGCCTTGACTTTGACACCTGTGACGTAAGGTGTATTCTTTTTCAGTTTTGAATACAAGCCAATTTAACACTTTAGTTCGTATTTTTCCTTTTCCATTCAAGACCTGTTCTGCTGACAGTTCAGTCCTGATAATCAGAATTAAGCAGCCTTTTGCTGTGCCTGGTGATTTACACTAGTGCCTTGAGATACAAGTGACCCAACCTACTACTTTTTTGAGATATGAGCTGTTGTTTGGCTGGTTTATTTATTGCTTTGACTTGAGATACAGTTCAACCGCTGTATGGTGGCAGCGAACTCTATTCAAGTCACGCCAGCAATAAACAGCAATTTGTCAAATATTGAACAATTCATCAAAAGAGAGGCTTCATCAGGTTTACTGCCATTCCTAGTTGAAGTTTCCTTTCAAACTACACATAAAACAAAGAGAACTACACTTTGTATATTTGATACAACCACTTAGCCAAAGTCCGTTTATCTTAACTCTAATAAACAATGCAAAGTAGCACTGACATGCTAACAGCATGAATAGTGCCGGTTTTAGAAGCAACGGGTCTTTGAAGCAAATTGTGGAGTAACATATGTACACAGAAAATATAACAGTACTCACAGGCAAATATTACACTGATCAACAAATCTTTGCTAAATGTTCTAATCAGAGAGGGAAGTATAATAATAATAAAAATAATAATATGCAATATACTGTAATATTTAGTAATATTTATAAATTAAGGCTTTTTTGAAATGTCATGGCTATAAATTACAACGCATGGTCAAGTCTATCGCACAAACTTTTATTGGTGAAACTTAACACCAAAAAATGAAAAATATCATCAACCTGATGTGCTCGAAAAAAGAAATGTATTTTAAGATCAACCTCAAAAAGACATGAAATAGCACATCAAGCTAAAAGTCTTCGACAAATAAAGTTGAGTTGAGTAGTATTGAATTTTGAGATTTGATTGCAGGAGGTATGGGCAGAGCCATGTCCCAACGAGTCGTGCTCACAAAACAAGTTTGATCTACAGTAAACTAATCTACACCCCCACACAATGTGCACAAAAGCCGTAACACTGCATGGCTGCCAGCATTTTACATTGTGTGTCTTCTTTCCAACACATAATGGCAAGCTCAGCGATCTGCATTCACACTCCCCTCCCACCTCCCTCCAGCAAAAAGAGGACTCTGGACTGCTCAGTAACCCCACCGTGCACCCTCTGCATCCCCAGTGCACCTCTGACTCACCCATCGAACCTTCACGGCTCTGCCATTCACCGTTTTGTGAATAATTGTTATTGATGTTCTATAACAAGCTTTTTCTTGACTTCCAAATACCTTCCTCTTCCGAGTCCCTTTTTTTTTTTGTCTGCCAATCCCAGAACAGCACGTAAAATAACCACCTTTAACTTATGCATTTAGTTTGTTTGATATTTAGTGTCGAGCCAGAGAAATGTAAGATTTGGCTTTACGTTTGTTTGTTGCCCGTGAGCATCCATAACCCTCATATGTGCTCCACACAATGCGCTCACAGGGTCAGGCTTTTCATTCTATGGGTCACTTCACCACTGTTAGCTTTGGGTTCTTCCGTCCGGGGCCTCAACTGTATTATCTGTGTGTGTGTGTGTGTGTGTGTGTGTGTGTGTGTGTGTGTGTGTGT